ATGCCCACGAAGCTGCCTCAGGAAGCATGATAAAGTCCGCAGGGCCGTTTTTCTTCCAGAGCAGCTCTATTCCTATCCATCTTTTGAATTGTGCCTCCATGTAGGAATCTTCAAAAGGAGGAAGGGGCTGATGTATCCCCTCCTCTACTGCATATGGGTTGAGTGCACAGTGCCTAGTGGTAGCACATTCTGTCCTTGGAACTATAGATCCAAAAATGGGTAAGACTCAGATCTTGCCCTCAAAATGCACTTAAACAAAAAGACAAACAATAAACTTTTACAGTCTTCCGGTAAGGCAGCTACATAAAAACAAGAGTACTTAGAACACAGACCATAAGCCAGACTATGTAAATTCTAAGATGTGTGATCATGGACAAATTACCGAACTCTCCGTGCCTCTGTTTTCCCGTCTATAAAATAGGCCCAATAATTGTACTTCCCTTGTTGGGCAGTTATATGAATTTATTAAGTGAATATATCTAAGGCACTAGAATGTCTTAGGAAAGAGCGTGACATGTATAAGCATCATGTAATGTTTTAAAAAGAACAATAATGAGGTGAGTGCCCTCATATGCCAAGTGCTGAAGAGGGAGGGGGGCATGCTCAGAAGAAGGAATAATTGATTCCGTCCGGGGAGTCAGTTAAGACTAAAAAAAGGTGATATTGGTTCTTGCTCTTGAAGTTTGCCGGGCAGAAGAGCAATGGAAGGGTTCTCTGGGTTTGGGAAACAACACTGGCAAAGTTCTTACAAGGTATGTTTTCTGATTTGAGATTGATTCCCAGTAAAAGTCTTAGAAAGCTATCAACATTGAATGAGGCTGGGCAGAACATTTCACAAACTATCTTGCAGCAAAGTGTACAGAATTACCAGACAGTGGGACAGTGATAGGCTGGTAAATGTTTAACCTACTGGGAAGTGAGGGAGGCCTGACCTGTAGCATTTGCTCATTTCTGTGATATAAATACTCCCAACATAGTTGATTTCAAGCTACCAGTGTTGTCAACAGACTCATAAAATTCCTGAAGATTTAACACTCGGCTTTCAGGAGCCAGTGCGAGCAGGCTCCAGCACACCACGGCATCAGAAGCACTCTGAGAAATACAGGGCTTGGGTTCCCCTTACTGGGTGCCACAGAAAAGTGGAGAGGACAGCTCTGACATTCTGCTCAGAGCACAGCTACGGCAAAAGTCGCTTGAGGTGGCCAAGCCCTCCTACTCACTAACCTTCGTGACTACTGAATCTGGCATGAGTTTTATTTGCCAGAAACAGAATCTACCTGGCTCATTTAATCAGGAGGAAGATACTTTGAATTTTATTTTTTTAAAGGCTCACAGAAGACCTGGGGTGTTAGAAAAGCCGATCAAGGTTAGGCATCCAATAGCATTGCCCAAGACCAGGATGAGAAAATCCAAGCACTGAAAGGCAGGAACTCTGCTCAATCCCTGTTGTAGGACCCTTCCACCAGCCCCGAAGCCACTTCTGCATCAGGAATTGCATGTTAAGACCCCCTAGGAAGCTGTTGCTTCTGCTGCTGCTTCCACAGAATGCCAGACACCACTGCAGCAAAAAGGAAAGAACCGCACTCAGACCAAGTCCATTTGTTCTGTGTTCCCTCCCCTCCAAACGAATGACTCTACTGGGAGCTTGGGATCGGCGGGACGTGGGTCCCACTCCGCATGCTAGCAGCACTGGAGTCTGGGTATGAATTCTGCAGCTACTGGGGTAAGAAGATTCCTAACAGGAGCACTTCCCCAAGTCAGAGAGACAGCACAAATTTGGAGGGCAAGCGTCCTCCTTGAATTCCACTGAGATTATTTTCAAGTTCTTTTCTGTCTTGTACAGAAAGGTTTCCCCTGAAGCCATGTTACCCTTAACTTCTTTCTACAAAGAAAAAGGTCACCTGCTAGGGGAGAAATGTTACACATTATGACTACGTTCTTTCAGACAATAGAGAATTAGGTGCATCCCACTGTGTGTTTCTACATAATCACACACACAAAAAATATCACAAATTCTAGCACTGTGTAAATATAGCCACACTTTGGAATCAGACAGACCTGGTTACCTAGCCTCTCTAGGCCTCAGTTTTGTCATCTGTTGAATGAGGATGATAATAATAATACCCTACCCCTTTGGTTGTGGTGAGGATTCAGTGAAATCTGCTATGTTAAGAAACCCATATCACAGTGGAGCTCAAAACCTGGTAAAACTTTTTGTAAAGGGCATTATGGCCTAGTGGAAAGGGTATGAATATTGGTGTCAGACAGACCAAGTGATGGATATGACTTAAGCCCCCATTTTCTCGTCTATAAAATAAAGAGAATAATAACTCCTGTCTTACAGGGCTGTTGTGAAGATTAAAAATAATGTGCCATGTCTAGCACAAGACGTAGCTTGTAATAACTGCTCAATTAATGATAGCCATTATCAATATTATTACTATTATTTACGTCATTATATGACACAGCCTAAGTGAGAACATCAGCTATTCCCAACGTGACTGGCCTCTCAGAAACTAGTGGGTATCTTGACTGAGAATTTAAGAAATGGCAAAGAGTTCTATATATACTTTTTAATCATCATTTGTGTCATGCACTCTGGTTTATAAAGCATATTCACTATTTCATCTGCACCCCATGCCAGTCTTATGAGTCAAGCAGAACAACCCTATGAGATAAGTATTATTACACTACTTTGCCTCAATGTCAGACGAGTCTGCCTCAGAGAGGTTAAGTCACTTGTCTAAGTCACACAGAAAATTTGTGATAAAGCCAAGGCCAAAATGGAGGTCTTCTGGGTTTCTGTGGAGTGTTCTTTCCACCACTTTATGCTGGAAACAAACTTCATCGGTTTGCTCTTCCATTTATTCAACAAACTTTTATTTATTATCTTTTGTATATCAGTCGCTATGCTAAATAGGTTCTGTTGATCCAAAGATGAATAAAAGAAAGTACTTCCCCTCTAAGACAATTTAAGAAAATACCCCCCACAAACACCCAGGGAATTTAACAGAAAATACTTCTACCAATTATATGACTCTCAATGTTTTTAAAAATTGTATTTGCAAATAAGATGATCAAATTTTAAATGGGACAACTGCTCTCACTTGAGCTATAGCATATAAAATTAATATAATAACATTAAAAAGTAATATTAAAATCATTAAAGTGAGTTTTTTCAAAGAATTACTTTTCAACTGCTAAAATTTGTTTCATTTGTTTTAAGTTGACTTTATTGCTAATAAGACCAGCCAATGTGCCAAAAGGAATCTAAATAAGATGCCAATACATACTGTTCACAACACAGATTCAGAATTAAAAACTCTTGGCCTTTTTTGGGTCCAGGTCTCCTTAGACAGTTTTCCCTCCAGCTTTGCTTTGACCCCAGCCACTGTGAGAAGAGGATATAAAACACTGTGGGTTCCAGAATGTTCTGTGCCCGGAAGATCTCCATTCAGAATTTTTGGCCAAATGTCCCATTAATTCCCCTTTGACTAAGGCACTTTGGGGTCAGATGAACTTGGGGTCTATGAAGATTACAGAAAAGGGACTGGGTCCAGAGTTCACACCAAGGCTACATATTTTTGAAATTTGGGGTGAAGCCAGACTCTGCTGTAGGGATTTAGGAGGGAGTTAGCTCAGGGAAACCTTTCCCTAATGAAAGAATTTTGCAGTTAATATTGTTGTTCTTCTTTTTTTTTTTTTTTTAACCAATAATAATAGTGCCTGCCACTTAATGAGGGACAAGTATGGGTGAGCACTTTACATATACTGTTTCTTTTTTAAATTTTATTTATTATTATTAGTTATTTTTTTATTGTAGTATAGCTGATCTACAATATTGTGCTAGTTTCAGGTGTACAGCAAAGTGATTCAGTTATATATATATATACATTCCTTTTTCCAGTTCTTTTCCATTATAGGTTATTACAAGATATCGAACATAGTTCCCCATGCCATACGGCAATCCTTGTTGTCTATACACATACTCTTTCTAATCCTTATAAATAATAATGTTGCAAGGTATTATAATTTCTATTTTACAGATGAAAAAATTGAGGCTCAGGAGGGAAGTAATTTTTCCAAGATCACATAATAAGAGGCAGAAGATGACATTTAAAACCAACATCTATATTATTCCACTTTTCTCTGTGTCTCTGCTACCTCATCTGACATCTTCCCCACAAAACAGCAAGACTAGTCCTCAAATATATATGGCTATACAGGAAATGTCAACTGCTGGTCTAAACATATTTACTAAACATCACCTAAACGCCCAGCTCTATATTAGGCGCTCAGGAGTTGTGAAGAATTCTTGTTTTGGCATATTTCTTGACTTAGGAAAAATCTGCCTCTGTATCCTTTTCCCGCATTTTCCTATGATCTATTTTTCTAGCCACTAGACATAATACAAAAAAATTAGAATCTTCTATGGCTTGGGAGAGCTAAATGAAAGACTTTGCTCAGTCAAAAATCATAATGATATCAATAGTCCATTTGAATCTCATGGATCTCAAACAACATAATTTGTGTCACAGTGACAATTTTTAAAAAGTGTCTCATTGAGAAAATTAAACCACTGCATTTGTATTATATTTTTAAACAATTACCAAACCTTCCCCTACTTTATTTAACATTGCAAAGTTTGCTGTTGAACTTCCTGTGAAAAGTACCCTGAGACACTTTGCCAGAACTGGCTGTAGATTCGTACTATCATGAGCAGGGCAGCTGAATTGCGCTGTTTGGTGACCCTTAAGAAGAGGGAGAGGGAGAGCGGGGGACAATATGGGGGTAGGGGCAAGGAACAGTATTTCGAAAAAGCACATTCAATATTATAATACAATGTTCTATTTAGAAAATAAAATACATTGCTGTCACAATACAAACTTTGAAAGTAAAGCTTCACAATAACTTCTTTGCTAGCAGTGCATGAGCGTGAAAAAGTTGGCCTAAGAAATGCTACTCCATATATATATATGATTAGGAACTCATCAGCTTACCCCTCAGTCTTAATTCCAGAGCCAAGTTCTCAAATCCATGCAAAGACTTGTTCCATTTGCAAAACTCTAAGTTGTCATTTCAGTGACTGGATTTCAGACACTTGTTTGGTTTTGTTGGTTTCATTTTTATCTTCCTCACTTAAAGGAGAAATAAACCAAAGCTTTCTTCTCCCTAAATGGCTTGAGAGGGAGAAAAATATGAATAAATTATGTTCTAATGGATTACTGAAGATTCCTACACATCCACCTGGATTCCACCCAACTTTTGAAGCAAAAAGCATAGGGCATTCCCACTTCATAAAGCAAGAATGTCTGGTTACTCTACTTCTGATTTCATGTAATTGAAAATAGGTCCTAGCCACCAACTACTCTGGATCAGGGTTCATGTGCTTTCCTCCCTGCCACTCTAGCTCCATCACTGAGGAAGAGTTTCAAATGGCCAACTCACCATCTTGTAAAGATTCCTATTCACCAGCTCTGTTAGAGTAGAGCCTCAGGGAACTTAGCATACTTCCTAGTTTACAACTAGTTTGTTCGACTACTGGCAAAAATCAATAAAGTACTAAAAGGAAGGAAGGAAGGGCAACAAGGACATGTTTGACAAGGTGTGTAAATCCACTTTTCTGATGGCAAAGGACAATGAACAGGATTCATAGCAGCAAAAGGATAGTGACCAAAAGTTAAGACAGGACATATCAAGGTAGCTGAAGAGCATGAGATCCAGGCCTTTTATTTAGGAGGAGAAACAATATTTGACATTTTCACCAGTATTAATTTGTTAGATAAGCAATTTCAATATATCATAATACTTATGATTCCCTTTGGCAGTGTCCTGATAATATTTTAATATATCAAGACCTCTAAGGGGTGCTGGTTAGGGTCATTAAGGTGGAAGGTGAGGGTATAATGGAACCAAACTTGTATAGACCACTCAGGGTCCAAACAGGAAGCAGAAAGCAATTCCTCATGCCACAAGGAAAATGGCTTCTGGGAGATGGATGGCCCAATGATACCTGTGTAATTTTAAGCATGGCTCTTTTTTTATGTGTTTTATATATTATGAATCCATCTAAGACTTAATTTGAAAAAAATATCTCCACTGCTGAAAAGGAATAAAGTTAAAAAATACTAGATGAGGGCTTCCCTGGTGGTGCAGTGGTTGACAGTCCGCCTGCCGACGCAGGGGACACAGGTTCGTGCCCCTGTCTGGGAAGATCCCACATGCCGCGGAGCAGCTGGGCCCGTGAGCCATGGCCGCTGAGCCTGCGCGTCCGGAGCCTGTGCTCCGCAGCGGGAGGGGCCTCAACAGTGAGAGGCCCGCGTACAGCAAAAAAAAAAATACTAGATGAACACCATTACAACAGAACAATCTTCTTCTTGAGAACAATTTTTAAAACTGGATAGAACATTAAAACAAAACGTTCCATTAAAAGTATTAAAGAACAGGGAGGCCTTCAAGATGGCGGAGGAGTAAGATGTGGAGATCACCTTCCTCCCCACAAATACATCAGAAATACATCTACATGTGGAACAACTCCTACAGAACACCTACTGAACGCTGGCAGAAGACCTCAGACCTCCCAAAAGGCAAGAAACCCCCCACGTACCTGGGTACGGAAAAAGAGAAAAGAATAAACACAGACAAAAGGATAGGGACGAGACCTGCACCAGCGGAAGGGAGGCGTGAAGGAGGAAAGGTTCCCACACACTGGAAGCCCCTTCGCGGGCGGAGACTGCGGGTGGCGGAGAGGGAAAGCTTAGGAGCTGCGGAGGAGAGCACAGCAACAGGGTACGGAGAGCAAAGCCAAGAGATTCCCGCACAGAGGATCAGGGCCGACCGGCACTCATCAGCCCCAGAGGCTTGTCTGCTCACCTGCCGGGGCGGGCGGGGGCTGGGAGCTGAGGCTCGGGCTTCGGTCGGAGCTCCGGGAGAGGACTGGGGTTGGCGGCGTGAACACAGCCTGCAGGGGGTTAGTGCACCACGACTAGCCAGGAGGGAGTCCAGGGAAAAGTCTGGAGCTGCCGAAGAGGTAAGAGACTTTTTCTTGCCTCTTTGTTTCCTGGTGCGCGAGGAGAGGGGATTAAGGGCGCCGCTTAAAGGAGCTCCAGAGACGGGCGCGAGCCGCGGCTATCAGCAAGGACCCCAGAGACGGGCATGAGACGCTAAGGCGGCTGCTGCCGTCGCCTGTGCAGCCCGCCACTGCCAAGGTCCCGGGATCCAGGGACAACTTCCCCGGGAGAACGCATGGCGCGCCTCAGGCTGGTGCAACGTCACGCCGGCCTCTGCCGCCGTAGGCCCGCCCCGCCCTCCGTGCCCCTCCCTCCCCCCGGGCTGAGTGAGCCAGAGCTCTCGAATCAGCGGCTCCTTTAAGCCCGTCCTGTCTGAGCGAAGAACAGACGCCCTCAGGCGACCTACCCGTAGAGGCAGGTCCAAATCCAAAGCTGAGCCCTGGGAGCTGTGCGAACAAAGAAGAGAAAGGGAAATTTCTCCCAGCAGCCTCAGGAGCAGCGGATTAAGTCTCTGCAATCAACTTGATGTATCCTGCATCTCTGGAATACCTGAATAGACAACCAATCATCCCAAAATTGAGGCAGTGGACTATGGGATCAACTGTAGACTTGGGGTTTGCTGTATGCAATTGACTGGTTTCTGGGTTTATGTTTAGCTTAGTTTAGTAATTAGAGTTTATTATCACTGGTAGATTTGTTTATTGATTTGGTTGCTCTCTTCCTTTTTAAAAATTTTTTTTATACATAGATTTTTTTTTTCCTTTTTCTCTTTTTGTGAGTGTGTATGTGTATGCTTCTTTGTGTGATTTTGTCTGTATAGCTTTGCTTTCACCATGTGTCCTAGGGTTCTGTCTGTCCATTTTTTGTTTTTTTACTATAGTTTTTAGCACTTATTATAATTGGTGGATTTGTTTTTTGGTTTGGTTGCTCTCTTCTTTCGTTTTTCTTTTTATTACTTTTTTTATTTTTAATAAGTTTTTTATTTAATAACTTTATTTCTTTTTATTTTTTTTCTCTTTCTTTCTATCTTCTTTCCTTCTTCTTTCTTTCCTTCTTTTTCTTTCTTTCTTTCTTTTTATCTCCCTTTTCTTCTCAGCCATGTGGCTGCCAGGGTCTTGGTGCTCCAGCAGGATGTCAGGCCTGTGCCTGAGGTGGGAGAGCCAAGTTCAGGACATTGGTCCACCAGAAACCTCCCGGATCCACATAATATCAAACAGTGAAAGCTCTCCCAGAGATCTCCATCTCAACGCTAAGACCCAGCTCCACTCAACAACCAGCAAGCTACACTGCTGGACACCCTATGTCAAACAATTACAAGACAGGAACACAACCCCACCCATTAGCAGAGAGGCTGCCTAAAATCATAATAAGGTCACAGACACACGAAAACACACCACCAGATGCAGTCCTGCCTACCAGAAAGACAAGATCCAGCCTCATCCACCAGAACACAGGCACTAGTCCCCTCAACCAGGAAGCCTACACAACACACTGAACCAACCTTAGCCACTGGGGGCAGACAGCAAAAACAATGGGAACTACAAACCTGCAGCCTGCAAAAAGGAGACCCCAAACACAGTAAGTTAAGCAAAATGGGAAGACAGAGAAATATGCAGCAGGTGAAGGAGCAAGGTAAAAACTCACCAGACCAAACAAATGAAGAGGAAATAGGCAGTCTAGCTGAAAAAGAGTTCAGAGTAATGATAGTAAAGATGATCCAAAATCTTGGAAATAGAATGGAGAAAATACAAGAAACATTTAACAAGCACCTAGAAGAACTAAAAAGCAAACAAACAATGATGAACAACACAATAAATGAAATTAAAAATTCTCTAGAAGGAATCAGTAGCAGAATAACTGAGGCAGAAGAATGGATAAGTGACTTGGAAGATAAAATAGTGGAAATAACTACTGCAGAGCAGAATAAAGAAAAAAGAATGAAAAGAATTGAGGACAGTCTCAGAGACATCTGGGACAACATTAAATGCAACAACATTCGAATTATAGGGGTTCCAGAAGAAGAAGAGAAAAAGAAAGGGACTGAGAAAATATTTGAAGAGATTATAGTTGAAAACTTCCCTAATATGGGAAAGGAAATATTCAATCAAGTCCAGGAAGCACAGAGAGTCCCAACAGGATAAATCCACGGAGAAACACGCTGAGACACATATTAATCAAACTATCAAAAATTAAATACAATGAAAAAATATTAAAAGCAGCAAGGGAAAAGCAGCAAATAAAATACAAGGGAATCCCCTTAAGGTTAACAGCTGATCTTTCAGCAGAAACTCTGCAAGCCAGAAGGGAGTGGCAGGACATATTTAAAGTGATGAAAGGGAAAAACCTACAACCAAGATTACTCTACCCAGCAAGGATCTCATTCGAATTTGACGGAGAAATTAAAAGCTTTACAGACAAACAAAAGCTAAGAGAATTGAGCACCACCAAACCAGCTCTAGAACAAATGCTAAAGGAACTTCTCTAGGCAGGAAACACAAGAGAAGGAAAAGATCTACAATAACAAACCCAAAACAATTAAGAAAATGGGAATAGGAACATACATATCGATAATTACCTTAAATGTAAATGGATTAAATGCTCCCACCAAAAGACACAGACTGGCTGAATGGATACAAACACGAGACCCATATATATGCTGTCTACAAGAAACCCACTGCAGACCTAGGGACACATACAGACTGAAAGTGAGGGGATGGAAAAGGATATTCCATGCAAATGGAAATCAAAAGAAAGCTGGAGTAGCAATTCTCATATCAGACAAAATAGACTTTAAAATAAAGACTATTACAAGAGACAAAGAAGGACACTACATAATGATCAAGGGATCAATCCAAGAAGAAGATAGAGCAATTGTAAATATTTATGCACCCAACATAGGAGCACCTCAACACATAAGGCAAATGCTAACAGCCATAAAAGGGGAAATCGAAAAACAAACAAACAAAACAACTAATACTAAACTTTCTTTGGGTTATTTGTATGGAAATATGTTAATATAAATGTTTCAGACATTACATGAAATTTCTAAAAATCTTATAAGTATAATAAGTCATAATTCTAATTATTACTTTAAAATGTATATCTCAGAAATAACTAAATTTCCTTGTCAATTGCATTATTATGAACTTTCATCAAATCTTTAACCATGG